GCATCAAGTGGATTGAGTCTATACTTATTACGCCTTCGTTCGAAGATTTAAAGAAAAGCGATGAGTCAAATCGTTTCAAAAGGCGGAATCGAATCGTCATTAGGTAGGTTCTAGCAAATCTATCATATTTCTGTTTCCATGGCAGATGTAGGGAAACTATGTGTGACTTATTATGTCTAACAGATGCGTAGTATCACTGAGATCACCAGCTTCTTAGTAATAGAAGGTCCTTCACACCAAATATGCAACACCTTACACCCATACAGCTTCCAATCTACAATTTTTGCCTCGTTGTAGCATTCCATTTCCATCGTCTCTAAATCAATTTTAAACATCTACAACTACCTTAAACTATGGAAGTTTTAGACATAAATAATATTCGAACTTTGGTTCACAAGTTTTCAGTTGTTATAAGATATCTGCATCACACAAGTCTGTGTTTAAGTCGTTTCTCAGACGGTGCCTGTTGTACATCAATACGCCATAAGTACTGACTCAATCTACTTGACCAAATATTAAGAGAACCAATATAGACGGAGTAACACAAATTAAAGGGTAGACGAAATTGGCGGTACATTTAAGGATCATAAAATTCAGAAAAATATGTGTGGATATAAAAACAGTTAATTCATCATTTACAATTAAGTGGCACGCACTCCTGATATCCTAATGTCGCTAAAATATATAAATATCGCTCCTATAGCGGTGATGACACCACCGCAGAGCAGTTGGAGTTTGTTGCTCATTGCATAGTTGGCAGTCTATGCAGCATCGCGCAGTGCATGCAACGCCAACGGTTACAAAGTTATTTCAGTTATTATACATCGGACTTCTATCATTTAATCTTCTGTTGTTACCGGGGTCAGAAGCTTCTTTGTGATAGAACGTCGTTGGCGAATACTAAAGACATTACATTTGCAGCCCCCTACCCCTACATCCCTAACCCCCAAGTTTCAAGCTTCACCAAAATTTTCTGAAAATCTCGAGCGTCAAAGAACGAAGTTCAGGAGATTTTTATTTCTTTGTGTGATTGCCCCTAGCTCCAACACCACCAGACCGATCTTCAAAACCTACAAAGCTTTTTCATCATTGGCACTGTTGTAACCTACAGATCGACAGACCGACAGACAGACCAACGGAAATGAGTGCATGGTTTTTTTGTGATGTGTATGTCATGTAATATCCAAAAAACTTCCTCGCCAGTTTTGGCATAGGAAGTAAAAAATAGCGGAAATCCTTTTTCCATAAGGTTCCCGCGGGGTCTCGTTTGACCCCAAAAAGGAAACATTTCTGTAATCACTATACTTTCTCCGCTCATGCGTCGAAACGAGGAAAAAGCGTTCAAGCCTAGGAAAAACAAATTTGCACCTCCTCGCTAGTTAAATAAGTCAACTGAAACAGAGCAATTATAGTGCGTATATTATGTACTTTTTTCATTCAACGCTAGCCCGTATAAAGGTAACACGCATGTTCTAAAATAAATAGCCACAAATTTATGACATTTTTAAATATTTATGCAAGAAAACTAAAACCAATATTTGATGATACACATTTATTGTGCTTTGATTACGTTTATTTACTGTTGTTATACTCACACCGAAATTGATTTACAACTGAATAGGTAGATTGTTAACCTAGTTTATTAGTTATATTCCCTATAAATTGTATCAAGATGGCAATTAAGGAAGGCAAGGCCTACACGATCATACATAAAATTCGCAAAGCCCACTTGGAACTCGATTAATTTTTAAAATGTTAATCATGCACGATCAGTATGACGAACTGGTTTGATTACAGTAATCTTGCAATTTCATGGGTGATAAATATTGTTGGTACACTTTCGTTGCATCAAGTAGTTCAGTTGGGTCATATGTCTAAAAAAAGAGGAAAGATGAACTGCTTTACATTACCACTTATTTCCTACGCAAAAGGTCTGCTATATATATATATATGCAGGTGAAAAATTAAAGCTTCCGCCTTTTGTTGGGTACTTCGACAAAATTTAAGCAAGGAGGACTCTTTATACTTTTTTTATTATCTCTAGCTTTCAATGGACTTTGCTATCATCATCAGGAGCTGCAATTACATTGATAACAGTAGTAACAATAGTGTAAAATGAATTTAAATTAACTTAACTTACAGTAGTATGTGAGGATGTTGCTAATTGTTGTTTACGTTCAGGATGAGGGAAACACCCAGTAACATGGTGAAAGCTGGATAAATAGTACAATGGTCAAAATTATATAAAATACACACAGTTGTGTGACAAGAACAACTTTTTCCTCACAATTAAATAATAACTGTTAATTTAATTGCCCATTAATATAATATAGTGAATTCAACTGCCTCTGGTGGGTTTGACAATTTCTTACCTAACACATTTTGAAAATTACTTCATCTGAAGTGATTTGGCAACGTAGCACACGCCCACAAAATAATTAGTTCCATCATTCTACACAGACACTGATAACCTTCGGCCATCTGTCAAAAGGTTCTTTGCCATCATCATCAGGAGCTGCAATTACATTGATAACAGTAGCAACAGTAGTGTAAAATGAATTTAAATTAACTTACAGTAGTATGTGAGGATGTTGCTAATTGTTGTTTACGTTAAGGATGAGGGAAACACCCAGTAACATGGTGAAAGCTGGATAAATGGTACAATGGACAAAATTATACAAACTACACACAGCTGTATGACAAGAACAAGTTAAAAACAGATGAAAAAATATTTAAAACGAAAGTTAAGCATTACATCGTGAAACCACTTGATGATTGCACAAAATGGTGGGCATAGAATCATGAGTAAGATGAACCTTTTGACAGATGGCCGAAGGTTAGCAGTGTCCGTGTAGAATGATGGAACGAAAATTATTTTGTAAGGCGTGTGCTACATTGCCAAATCACTACAGATGGTGTGATTTTCAAGATATGTTGGGTAAGAACTTGTCAACCCGACCAGAGGCAGTTGAATTAACTATATTATTATTAGAAGGGCAACTGAATTAACAGTTATTATTTAATTATGAGGACACAGTTATTAAAATTTGAATGGAATGGAGTTTTTTTGGTGCAACAGACCAGAAAAACAGGTTCTATTTATGGTTGTGAAGAGTAAAATTTGGAGAGATGTGTAAGTGCTCCAATTTTTCGCAGTTTAGCAAATATGAGTAAATGACGCTCAGTTGCTGTCTTCTTATTGATACAGTTGTCGTTCATGAAAATGTGGGACATTTCCAGGAATAAACATTTGGATAGGTGTTTTTCTTTATTGAGAACTTTGATAAGTACTTGTGTAGTTCATAGAGTGCCCTGTTGTGTTGACATGAGATGCTAGAGCACATCTCTCGGGATGAAGCCTAGAATCACTTTTGTGTGATGTAATCCTTCCTTTAAGAGATCTGGAGGTCTGACCTATGTATATTTGATTGCAATTGTTGCAATTGATAGAGTAGACTGTGTTGTTTAAGCCAAGCAGCGGGACTCTGTCTTTCATCTTGCAGTTTATAGTGAGGACGGATTTGCAAGCAATTCGACAGTTCAACGGACTGCATAATCTGATCAGCTTAGGGGTCATTTCCTTGATATAGGGCAGGACAGCAAAACCAGATCTGGAATTTGGGATGGTGGTTGTACTGTTTGAATTGGTGTTGTTGTTGGGAATTCTATCAGTTCTGTTATTAGGAGTTGTGAGACTATTGCTTGTATCATGAGAGTTTGGTAAAATACTGGGAGGTGAGCTGAACAAGATATTGTTAATCAGACGCTTCGGATAACCATTGTTAATGAACAGTTTTGATAGCTTCCGTAAATTTGAAGTAAGTTAAATTAAATTCATTTTACACTATTGTTGATACTGTTATCAATGTAATTGCAGCTCCTGATGATGATAGCAAAGACGATTGAAAGCTAGAGAGAATAAAAAAAGTATAAAGAGTCCTCCTTGCTTAAATTTTGTCGAAGTACCCAACAAAAGGCGGAAGCTTTAATTTTTCACCTAACTGGTCTAGACGACAATGACCACGTCTCAAGTTATATATATATATATATATATATATATATATATAATTTGACCCAGAATGCTACGAGCAACTGGAGGTGTGTAGTACACAAAAATAGTTGTTTATGTATCTAAGGAGATACACATTTTTTATATACGTTTAAGGTAGCTTTTAAGCAGGATTAGAGATATCTAATTTGACTGTACTGTTGGTACACCGATAATAATTGCTCTCCTGCCTTGCATAAAATACATAAAGACAATTCCTGTGTGTGTGGTCGTCATATTGTATTCGAAATAGGTTCCTTCATAAATGGGTTCGTGGTCTACTAAAAAGTGAGAAATAATGCCCGGAAACCCTTTTCATAAAGTGTACCTTATCTTATCGTAGATATACAGTGCATTCCAAAAAGGTCACCGCTACTTATCTTTCGAGCACGCTAAGATAGCTGGCTCAAATTCGGGGTGATAAAGTTGATTAAGAGTAGGTATAGCGTACAGGAAGCAGTGGAAAATTTCAAGAAAATGACTTGGCACAATCTGGAATTGTTTTAAAATCAAGTGGGGGCACGTGATACTTTATTTTGTAGCTCCTTGTGTGCGCTTGATAGCATAAGACTATTATATTATTATTTTTTAAAACGACAGACCAACAGACTGTCAAAGCTGAGAGTTTTTCTGCATCACAACGCTATAGCATGTTATATTAATCTTCTTTGGAAATATGCTTAGTAAAAAATATGGAGCATTTCGTTAAAAAAATGTTATCATCAAATTATGTACTGCAATACTAACGCTACCAACAAACTATATAACTGGTTCCTATAACATTGGAGAATTGTGGGTAATCACATAAAAGTCAATTAAATACGCTTTGAAATGACATTTTCCTTAACTGACATTTTATTGTAGAATTTCCTAGCGCGCGCCTCAAGATATCACTTATCTGTTAATGGTTAATTATTGGTTAAAAAGAAATAAATTTGGTTGGACTAGTTACCTGTATGATAGAACCAATGGTGAGTCCAAAAGTCAATGAAATTTGAACCACACTACTTGGCCCATTGATTCCAATACATGAAGCGCACCCGATGAATACCAAGAGAAATGTGCCCAGGCATTCTGCGGCTAACATGCGCCATATGTCCCTGTTTTCTGTGATGTCTGAGATGCCGATGATGCTCCCTGTTAGGGTATCTGTAACAAGAAAGTGGAAGATAGAGATACTTTAACATTGACCATTCAGACCTATTTTTCAAAAATGAAGTATGAACCCTTTTGGTAAATTACTATGGCAAAACCATCGATTCACAACCAGAGTCTAGTTAGATTATTTATTTATTAAGACTTTTTGTACCAGTGTTTATACGATATTCCAAATTGTTTTAATTAACCATAATTTTGAGAAGATCTGCTATTAAGAATGTGCGAGAATATAGTCGGATTTTGCTGAGATTGTTCTTACAATTATTTTGCTTGATTGGTAAAAATACCACGTACTTTGGAACAATTGACTTTGAACATAACAAAAATTATTGCTATTTCTTCCACTAAATACCTCACCATCTCATTGTTATTAGCATAACGTTTGTTTTAGATATCATCTGCAAATTCAAGCATCGTATCTCATGGTCATTTTGCAAAGTGCTATGGGAATATTTTCAACTTGGCAAAATGATGGGTGCGCGCTATGTTTGCAGAATAAATAAAGGATGATTATCTGCCCTAAAAATTCGCGGCTTGAGTCAAATGCCCAGCTTTTCCACTTGGTAGTTTTTGTTTTCTTTTGGTTATGCCTGATCATATCTTTGGAGAGCCATTAAGCAATACGTGATCATCTTAACCTACAAATGCATCTGTGTCTATAAAGCTATTAATGTGTCGTAGTAAGATTCCACTTTACTATATGTGAGCTAAGTCTGTCAGGTATTGTAAATACGACAAGTTAACTGAGAAGACTTGGTCAACTACACAGTTTTTTTTTTAAATTTTCGTTACCCGTAATGAACGTTTTAATTATTCTGAGCAACTAAACTATTCGGTTTGATTAAACTGAATTTTCTGGTTTTCTGGATCCAGTTTAATTGAAACTATTAGACCATTAAACTAATTTGTTTCAAAATAACAAACCGTGTAGCTTTTTTATTAAACTGTTTAATTAGTTTAGATAATGTAGAAAATGTTCATTCAAAGCAATTAAGCATTTTGATAAGAACAGCTAAACTACTCAATTTATTTGTGATTTCGTGCTTCATGTTCGAATGTTGCCGTTGTTAGAGTAATAGCAAAGAAACGCTCTGTACGAGAGAATCACTGCTAACCTGACGGAATGGGAAGAACTTTGAAAATTTATTTCTGCAACCATATTTAGGTAAATTCAGGGTATTTGTATCAAACATGTACTCAACATAGGCCTGATGTTTTGAAACAATTCTAAGATATGCCTTTTATTAAACAGATTATCGATGCATTTTTTTCTTTGTTCAACGATAAAAGACTGCTGAGTCAGTGGTGTGTAACCATTAATGCAATTTTAGATTAAACGTTATGATATACATAATTCAGTAAAATGCAATTTGTTGTTTTAATTTTAAATATTATCCAAATATACTTTGAAATCTAATAAAATAGTTTTTGAATAAATTGCTGTAAATGATATAAGAAATTCAATTAATCCATTGCGTTTCAAATTAATTAAACTAGTTTCATAGATTCAAGAAAGCTGTTCAAAAAGTCGGTTTACTTGTTAGCTGACACAGCTAATTACATCTCTTAATTGGCCTAATTGAAACTTTATATGATTTAATTAATTTTTTTTTCAGTGTTGGATGATAAATGATTACTGAATCTAAATGAAAAAATCACACACACATAAGAGATGTAACTGGTGTCACTAAGTCGAAAGCTATACCAGCAGAAATATACCCATTACAAACTATGATGATAAAATCGATGTACTAAGAAAAGTGCCGTCAAGTAGATTGGCTCTGTACTTTCCACGTGATTCTAAAAGAAAATGAATATGCAACATGTATACAAGAGCGAACCCGAGATCAACCACTCGCCGCCCCCCTCCCCCCTCGCTCTTTAATGTTCAATCATCGATCTCCACATCATTGGAATTCTTCGAGTCTCTCTCTACACCGGATAAAATCATAAAAGGTACTTAAATCGGATCATTTCATACTGAGATAGAAAATCTCCTCGATGGTTACCCCCGCAGAGGCTCAAAAAAGGAATTCTGAGGAATATGAGGGAATATATGAGAACATTCGAGTTTGCGTCAGGGTGTCGATGAAATAAATAAAATGGTCAAGTAACAGTTCAGCTAAAGTTCAACAACGGAAGAAGGCAAAGCAATACGGACCTGAAGAAGACATCGGTTGATGACTTCAAAGACTTCAGTTTTAGAGCACTTAGCTCGTTTATTCTGATTCTTCCTGTAATTGACAGAATATTTAAAGAAGTTTCCCATCTACCGAAGACAATGACTGATTGAGCTCAAAGCAGTTCTCCTGCTTTAAGGCGGAATCTGACATTGTTATCGCTAATATATATGTATCAAAGCTAGAAAAGGAGACCTGAGAAGAACTTTGGGGCAGATTCAAGTAAAGCAGCAACATTGTTAACTAGGCAGTAAACATGAGTAGCAGAAAATGCTGTACAAGTGTCCTGGATGAACCTGATAAGGTATTTCTTTACTTACTTCAAGATACCAATGCGGGAAATGGTCTGGACTATCAGCCTCCCAAATGAGTTGCATTCGAATGGTAGAAAACTAATACTTCTATGTGGAAAATGTGAAAACGGATTGTGGAAAGTACGTGACCTGATTAAAGAGGTCAACGAGCTGAAAGAATATATCAAAAACATTAAGATGAAAGTTGAAATTGCAGAAATCACGAAGCGAAGTACTGAAGGTGAACCGATAAATCTAAGTTTTGACAATATTGTTAACCAATTAAATGAACGACACAAGAGGTCATCTAATTTATTTATCTCGAATGTGAATCTACTCAGTTAAACTCTAAAATCGAAAGATGCCTATTATATTAGCGTGCAATCGTCTTGCATCGATCTTATTTATGTTAAATTTATTGAGGTAGCTGTAGCTTTTCAATTTTAAAATATATTATTTTGAGGAATTCATAGTCCCCAATAATGGCATACATGATCAATTACAGTAAATGAATTATTTTTCTATTTTGTAAAGGCTATATAAAACGTAATTCACTGCCAAACCATATAAAAAATTTTAGTAACATACATATTTAGCTTTCGTAAAACACTAATATATTTTTTTAAAGATGGGGTGTAATTTTTGCAGATTATTTGAATTTGATATCAAAGCGATATATTTAAATCCTTCGCTTATCATGGTTAACCTGTAGTGGTAACGTATCAACCATTGCTCAATTGGTCAGGTTTAGTTGATGGCAACTGAAAATAGAAAAATGGCAAGTCCTACAGTTCCTATACTTTGACAGGAAAGTTATATCTAATTGAAATCCTCAGGTTGGCCATCGTATGACTTTTATTGACCAAGATGATTATGTTGAAGGCACATTTTATTTGTATTCCATTTCACAGAAAATCAAAGTCATACACATCAAAAAAATAAATTTAACCTTAAATCAGATCCTTCAGTATTTCAATTTTGGTGCACCACATTGCCGTTGGGTATGCTACTTGCATAAACATGTACATGCTTTGCCTCTCCGGAATAGTAATGCAAACGATTAAAAGAAGACCACTGATGAAGTGCAGTGTTAAAAAACCCCACCAATTTTAAATTATAGAAATCAGCGAACGAAGAAGCTGTAATTAAAAACTCTTACTTATTCACGAAATACTCTCGGTACTCGCGATTGATCATGACTATAATTTTAGAAATAATCGGTTGTATGTATCACACTTCTGTGAAACTTTGATTCCCATGTTACAGAAGGTGTTGTGATGTTCGATAATTATTAATGACATTACCCTAAATTTGAGTCTCACTGTTGAGATCTCGACGTTGGTGAATATGCAGCCAACTAGACAGAATTTGTATTGCTAATAGCTAAAATAGAGAATATCAGATAGTAGGCTTTTAATTCGCATAGCGGTATGACATTTCATGTCAAATTGCATTCGTCAGAGAATTATCTTACTAGCATCTGGGGTTCAATTCTTAAATTGAGGGAAATCACTTATAGAGTGATTTACCTCAACACTTTATTTTGGAACGGGTCAAGTCAAAAGGTGAAATTCTGGATGATGAAATTTATGCGTGAATACTAGGGTGAAGATAAAAAACCTTATTTGAAGAATGAAGGCTGGGCTAGGCGGTAGCCATCTTCAGTGGGGCTGTCGGCGAGAGCGAAGTGCTCGGCTTGGCGGGCCGACTGAGACTCGACTGTTGTATGTTGTGTGAAATATTTTTGATAGGTGCATACAGGGTGTTCTAAAAATAGGCGAAGATATTTTATAGGGTAATTCCTTATTGAAAAATATGAAAAAAGCTTCTATAAACTTGGGTCCGGAAATGCAGAGTTTTCAAGATAGAGAGTGATAAATTCGAATAAAAAAATTAAAAATACCATACAAAACATTTACTCGATTCTGTTGAAATTTGGCAATAGTATTTCGTGTTAACCTTCATGCAGATATTATTTTTTGTTTTGAAAGGCACTTGTGATTTTTTCAGCAAAAATTATTAAACCAATTTTGTTCAGTGAAAAAAAAAGGTTTTTATTTTTTTCTCTCGAAAACGAAGTGAGATACAAAAAAATACAAGAAGCAAAGAAATTGTTTTTTAGATGCTGAATCAAACAACAAATTTTAAAGTTACAAAAAAGGCAGTGGCGTACATTTTTTGCCAATAATATTCGCTAAGGTACCACCGAGACGCCAGTGGACCTGATAGTTTTAATCTACTCAGGTCAAAACTTGTCTCTGAATACAATAAATAATATTGTCAAATTTAAATAGAATCTAGCAAATATTTTTTAAGATCCTAATAAAAAACTGATTTTTTTTTTTAAATTGATCACCCTGTATCCTGAAAACTCTGCATTTCCGGACCCATGTTTATAGAAACTTTTTTTCATATTTCTTTAACAAGGAATCAACCTCTCAAGTATCTTCGTCTATTTTTCGAATACAATGTATAACTACCGGGGTTGGCTACACCCTCATCCACATTCCACAGTGCCCCACCCCCTAATTCAGAACGCCAGAAAACGGAGTATGAAAGATTTCTATTTTTTTCATTTTTGCATTTTTCTACGTCGCCACTGGACTGGTTTTCAAAAAGTGCAACCCTGTGCAGAAGTTTCATCAAAATCCGGGCACCCATATAAAAAAAAATACTGAAGAACAAGTTCGCCACTACAAGCAATAGTATTGGTTATTCGGAATACTCAAGATTCAAAAATGGAATAAGACAAAACCAGTGTAGCTCTATGGTTGCCAGCTATGGGGTTGCCCCAAGTGTCCTAAAATCAAAATTATTCAAACATCACAATGCTGATCCTCGTCAGCTGCTGGCCAACTACAATGTGGTCCAACGATTGAAGAGCACCAACTTTTGTAGTGTTTTGCATCTAAAGCGAAGCATGTACACGAGCTCTCGATGACAGTATTGATTACATCTTGAGCTTTTTATTAAAGACATCAAAGGATAGCTCCTAGTGATACGTATTAATTGTACGATAACACAGGAAAGTTAGTGGTTGATCAAATTGGTCAGTTTTAATAGTCCGGACGCCAAAACCACTCTTAAAAATTAAAAAAATCGAGCAGCACTTTCCAAATTGAAGAGGGGTCAAGGATTAGCGGACAGACCGACGTAAAGACTGACGGAAATGAGTGGCATGGTTTTCGTGATCTACAATTTGTACATCTCAGATCCAAAAAACATTATATCTCATTTTCGATTTTTTTCTAAATTACAATGATTCATCGCCAGTGAGCTAGGAAAGTAAAAGTTTTTTTTACGTTTTTACTTTTAATAAGAACGCATTTTCATAAAAAAGTGATTATACCCACAATGTAATATTTGCGAGTAGAAGATTGATTTCAGAGCAGCTTATTGTGCATGACTAGTGGTGGTGACTGCTATGTATTTATAAAGAGAGAATGGTTTGCTTATTCTTGATTTAAATCATTTTTCCTTTCAGTTTTTTCCATTACTTGACATTTTCGAAGCGATGTGCACGAACTATAATTCCGAGTTGGTTCATTTAATTATAATGTGTCTGCCGTAACATATTTAATCCTCAGATAATATGTATAATCAAGATTTTATGATATCGTGCAACAGGTTCTCCAGGCCTTTCATGGCAAATTCTATGTTCAAATGATGAACTTCTCACAGCTTTTGATGCTATTCCATGTGACATTTGCGTAAAAAATTAACGTTTTATTATACAGTGTTTTTCAGAAAGGCCCCCGTACTTACTTTTGAACAGGTAAATTTAGCGAGCTCAAATATGGGATAATAAAGTTGATGTCTGAATACTATATTTTAACGTGAAAATAATATCTCTAAATTTCCAGATGGCGGCTGAGCACTCCTCACGAGTAATTAATAACCCTAGAATAAAAAATCATGAACTCCTATTGAATCGCTTATGACTCAACAACAAGTCATCCAAACCTTATAGTATGTTATATCAATTTTCTTTTTGGGAGGTCTATTGAGGCTTCTGGGCCAACAGTTTTAATGTGTGTATAATGGAAGAGGAGGAGGTCACTATCAACAACTTACAGGCATTATTTGCTAATTTTCAGTGCGTGGACTCATATGTGCCAAATCAGTTCTTAAATCTCCTTGAAGCGAGGGCACATCCCCGTGGTGATGGACAAAATCTGATTATTTTTCAGCCAGGTCCCTGGTTGTGTGTTACTCCATCATGCAAGAAGATAAATGCAAATTATTGTACTTGCAAAAATGGAGCGCGGACTGCCGGGCGTTGCAGCCTTGCAAAGATTATCACATAATATCTTGACAACGACATCAAGATAACAAGGCATCTAGATAAGGAAACTAAGCCTCCAATTAAAAAAATGGCGTCAAGTAGGTTGACTCTGCGCTCCCTATGCAACGTCGTCATTAGTTCATAAAAGATTAAGTTCAGCACACGTTAAACCCTCTGAGAGAAAAAATAGTTACGAACATCCACAACAGGAAAATTAAACTGCTCGTGTCAGTTAAACAGTCCCATACAATAAGTCCATGACATTGTTTCCTCGCACTACCGGTAGTTACCGTCCATCTGGCAACGTTGCCGCTTCCTATATCACCAGCTGCGGCAGCGCCCACCTAAGCAGATCGTTTTGCCGGGCGCTGAGCCCAGATATCGAAAGGATGCGCATATCAAAAGCATTTCTCTATCAGTCTAAGTTTTTACGGCAATTATATGCGGAAACCTGTGATGTGTGAAATATGGCTAATAGGTGCATCGACCTACCAGACCTGAGAACGTATATTATCATTGAAAAATTGAGATATACCCTTGTCCACTCCTCTGCTACCCCCCAACCACTAACTTCTTACCCCTAAATTTTTTTTCGAAAATATTTAGGATAATCTGAAACGTCAAATACGAAGTTTTAGCCATTTTAATCTTTTTCATTTTTTGCATCTTTCTCTACTGCCACTGAATCGATTTTAAAAAACTACAAAGCTTTTTCTTCCTTGGCATCGTGGGTAAGCTTTTGCAGAAGTTTCATTCAAATCCCAAGAGCACCTTCCGAATTATAGACGGTCCAAGGATTAGCGGATAGACAGACAGATGACCGACAGACCTACGGAAGGTTCAAAAAACATCTCATTTTTAGCGATTACAGTACTTCCTCGCCCAGTGGCGTATGAAGTAAGAAAAGGCAGCATATTTATCAGGTTTGATTTTTCTGATGACGAACTAATCGAAAAATGAATGAGTCTTTCAACATAATTTATACTATAACGCATACAGCGAACGGGCAATTTTTATACAGAACTTGTCGAGATAAATTCACTACTATATATTTTATTACTATTTGCCATATGGCCCAAATGGGACATGGTTCTATTCAAGTGTTATTTTTCGCTAGATCATATCATTTTCGTCATCTTGGATTTCAGCTTCCTCACTTGACCGATTCAAAAAATAAGTAGGAGGGGGACCTTCCTGACAAGCACAGTTTAGCTGTTCCTTAATAGTTATTACTCATATTATAGCGGCATCAGGTTTGATTATTATTTTCTAATTGCAGTACTAAGTATGCATACTTCTTCTTATTTAATACGCATAGACTATGAATGGTATCATTAGTGCCTTTATTTTCTAAAAGAGAAAGCACCTTGATGACTTCTAGGATCCTAGATAACAAAAGGCGTTGTTATTTTGTTCATCAAAAGGAGGAATTCTCAAAGTAAAATTTGGTGTTACGCCCAATATTTAGAGTATGTCGCAGAAATGTCTCAGCTGCAAGGTTTACCGCTTCAGACAGTATTAGCTAGTTCTTTTCCGGGACTATTTAAGAGGCTTCGACGTTGAGCTGTGTTAACCTTATCCACCTTTATGTAATAAGATGTCATCTGACTAGGCATGTGAATAGTGTCGTCAACCTATAAATTGTGAGATACGGTATGATTAGAAGTTAAATGTCACAAAACAACTTAAAAGTTAAGGCATTGCTTGTGTAGCTTGAACAGAAATTGGCACTACTACACTAAAAAGTTTTATTTACTTGAGCGGTTTGAGTACTTGCTTTAACTCATCTTAAACCTGTTCCAAGTTAAATTGCCATGGAGTAAATCGTTTCAGCTAGTGCTTTCTATGTGATTCAACTGAAACAGCTTACAACAAACTGTCGTGAAGTCCAATAAATCTAGGTAAGTGCACCTCTGTTTTAGTAAAATGTTAGCAAACCCATACGCTAAGTACTAAGATGGGAATATCTTCTATAGCTTGATCCATCCATCCTCTTCTTGAAAGTACAGAGAGATCCAAACTTTTAGAAGTCGCGTTCAAAAATTTGAAACTCTCTTAAAATAACAGAGAATACCCGTATGAAGTTTGCTTTGGGATAAATAACAAAGCAGATGGTAAGATTAACACAGAAACTGAAGTATTTGTATATAAAGATAGCAAAATGTGAGATAAACCATATCAAAATTTAGGTCAAGAGCACATGGAGATTGAGTGGATTATATTCACCGAAAGTATACCCGTCTAAATATAAATCCTCAACCCTTTTTAATATGTAGGTGCTTTATGACTGTTCCAAAATCGTTTTGCTATTCAAGAACTTGTTTAATATACTATATCACCCTCTAACTAGAGCATTCTAGAAGAGACATAGTGTGAGACTATACCCTTGATTACAGCATCCACTTTTAAACGCAGTTACTAAAAAACACCATTTCCCTTCTACTAAATAGTGTTTTGTTGCAAATATGTCGGTCTCACGGTTCAACGATCTACCTCTGGTCACCACGTAATGTTAGTAAGCACCTTATCGCATTCTGGGATATACATTATTATTTTGATTGTCTTATGTGCCGTGGCATTTGAGTGACAGAAAAATATCTTTTGCAAATACTATTCAAATACTTTTTGGATTCGCATCAACGTAAACATTCTTTAGGAATATTCTTTCAAACCTATTCTTTTCAAGAGGGAGCTTTCAAAAAACGATATCTTTGCTATGCTTAGGCTTTTTCTGTACTTGGAGTATCAGCAATATCGAAACAGCTCAACTGATAGATCAGAGGGTTTCCACCATTCTTCGAAGTTGACAGGAAATATAGGAGTTAAACTTCTATTGAGCACTGATTTCTATGTTTTTAATACTTTAGTCTAGAATCTTTTTTGGCCATACCATGAGTTTTTATGTTTTGATAAGGTATATGTTTTCCAAGTGATGCGTTTGCTATTGGTGTTAGCGCTGTGCTACCTATCATGACAGAAAAATGCGTCATAAACGACTAAGCGGTTTTGGTTGGTTTGCCGAATTTTGGAGAGTCTAATGATGAGTTTATTCACTACACCTGTGGGAGGTCAATTTGCCAATATCAATTTGTCGATTGGTCAGCCTACATAAAGTCGTATTCTCAACAATCCCGGTCACTGAATTTCGTAATCCTGATCCTGATCCTGGCATCCGAAGGCCGACGATCATAGAAAAGTGCATTCACTCACCTGCTTTCTTGCTCATTTTCAAACCAGGTCGCCGGTCGCGTTACAGATTCAGCTCAGCAGCACTCGCGTTCCAAACTAAAACAAATACAAGCTCGCGTCCGTCTGTCCGTTTGTACTTCGGTCGTTTCACCAATGAAGAAGAAGAGAAAGATATCTAAGTTGCCGGTGGCACCGCGGATGGCTTAGAGAAAATCTCGGTCAATTCGCTACTATGAATGAATGGAATAGTACGCCGCGCGCCGATTAGAACGGTTATATGGAACCGATTTTATAGTGCGGTCAATGTATATGTACTTTTGTTCAAAATTCCAAATATTGCTTAAGTCATTGCTTTTGAGAGATTTTCGCCATGGTGTTTAATGAAATTGGAGCCATTCCGAACAATTTATGGAATGATAAAACTAACGAGGGCTTGGAGAACATGCAGCTTAAGGGCTCCTCAGAGCTTATCCCCACAGAAGGAATACAGTACTGCTTTCCTCAAGGAATTTCAATATTTTGCCTCCAAAAGCTGTATTTTGAGTATGAGTGGAAAAAATTTCCTCCCAAAGTTTAAGTGTAAAGTCTTGCGCCAAAGTATAGCTCAAGCGTCACGGAATAAGCTCTCAATTGCCTTACTTGTGTCTATCCCTCAAAAATCCGGTGAGGGATGTAGCTTTTGATAGTGTTTTGATATATGATATCGAAACTATTCTATATACTACATCCCATATAATGAGTATATTCTTGACTTCCGATTATACAATTCATCTAGACGGATATCTTTATAGACAAAGGAAACTTTTCATAGCCACTTTCAAGCAGTAAAGCTCGACAGTATTTCCCTGCCGGCACACTCACTAAAATCTTCCGTTTGCTACGTATGCCACCACGGCAAAGGTTGTGCATTCCTTCAAGGTGGACAGCGTTGTGCTAAGTTTTCATTGCGAAGATATTAATTAGCCACATACTCTCTATCGCACATGTACATACCCCTCAATAGATTAACTGTGATGTGCCTGAAGGTTGCGGGCCTCTCCATAGTTTTGAGTGGGAGCCTATTGAAAATATGATTCATTCATGAAGTCAGACAACAGACTCGAATTTTTCATTGAACCTTAGAAATTGTAACATATAACTGTATAAATCTAGAGTAGGGCCGTTAGCCTATAAAAATCCGGCCGCTTTAAAGCTATGTTTCCCCTGGAGTCAACATCTTCAAAAAATAAATAGTTGTTCAGTTAGGTGTACTTGTCAAGAATATAAATAATAAAAATCACAAGGCCGCTTATCCACTGTGCTCGGACCACTATGGTGATCATTTTTGTCAATTCACAGCTCGCGTTGATAGTCTAAGCTACTCCATCTACATCAATTAGTGAATGTATTGCTAAACACGCGTTTTTTACAGCGCGAAAACCTGCCGCCCGTAAGTACCAACAGTACAAGTTCTTATTATCTACTGCAACCGTTGATTTAATCTTTCTCATTTCTATGACTGAGATATGTTAAGTATATTAATTAAAAGCAAAAAAACACATGTTGTTGTCTGATAACCGATTGAGCATGTGGATTTTCCTACAACTGTCTGCTAACTACTGAAGAAGGTTGGATAAGTGTACTCTTTCGAGATGGCTCATTTATGCTTTGGATCTAACACGATAAATTCACTTTACCCGGGGTTCCCCTAATCGATTTATAACATAATAAGACTTTCTGAGCTAATATCATAAGGTGACTTATCGTAAAATTCTATGTAAGTACAGGAACTATACAACTTTAATACCCTTCATAGCTCTAGTAGATTCCTAAGTAATCGAGCCTCTACGAATTTTTTCATTAACCGTTCGTGATTAAAGACTAAATAAGTTTCCTGTACTACTACGAAAAGGTGTCTTATCGCTCCAGCCGCGCTGCGGTACCACTACCACACGCACTCTCACGGGCTCCTTCGCGTACAGTACCAGTCGAAAGAAACGCCTACCGCGATGAGGCGAGGCCGTACCCAGTGCACCGCTGAATGTCAAGTGCACGGTGATATCTGCCATTATTTGTAAATAAATAGCGGATATCTGATGTAACTGATGGTCAAACTGTCGCATGATCAGTAGCTTTTTGTTTTATTTTAGTTCAAATACCAGAATTGTTATCGCGAAGCTTCGTCCGTAGCTTCTTTGTTCGCGTAGTATCAGTAACTAATGTTATTTTTTGAACCTTCAAACTTGAAGATGTATCACATATGAGCTGTGGATTAATATCTGGTCGCACTTATTTGAATAGACTTATGATCATGACATAAGGATACAAACTGATCCAAAAAGCAGGCGAAGTCTAGCCTCGGGCTACTGTAACTCAAGCTGCTAAGTATGCAATGCAAAGTAAGAATCCTCAACATTAACTAGACTACACGAAAATTGAATGTTTACCTTTTTACAGTAAATACTAAAAAAGATAAGAAATAACATACATTAACTTCATCAAATGCCGAAATCAATCTGGTAGTACCTGGGAGACTAGTAATGAGTCCCCGTCATTTTTTTATGCCAGTGTTGTTTTCAAAATGGATCCGTATTTAGTATTTATTAATGATTTCATTTCACTGGGCAAAGAGTTGTTAAACTTGACCGTATTGCATACAAAGCTTTTTTAAAAATGCGGTTTTATGGCAAGGAATACTTAATTTATTTTCATTTCTAATATTTGGAGAATGTGTGCTTAAATCTGTTTTAATTTTATTAATGTTATTTAGTTCCTTGTTTGCATTACTTGATGTTAAGTATAATTTGAAATTCTAAAGTGACAATATAGTTGTATGTCTTCAACAAACGTCTGTACCTTGCAACATTCAGGGGCTTTTAAGTTATTCGCTATGTAAATTATTTATGAAAAGCACAGGTCACAAAATACATCCTTGAGGAACTCCTTAAAGGATGCTGCTCTCCTCTGAGTAGCCTTCACCAAGTTTACTTCATTGCAAACGTTGCCCTGTAACCATTTTGGAATTTCTACTTGCCTGAGGGCGTAATCAAAAAGTCCTGCGGTGGGCTCATACTTGGAATGTTTGTGTACTTCAAATGCTTAATAAATTTATAGGAATGCGTGGCACTTGCTGCGTAGTATATGACTTCACTTTTTTATAATATGTCTAATTTGCATCCTTTAACAAACTATGAATACTTCGTGGCATATGAAATCTCAAAACCTTCAGTTACAAATCGTCTAAGCATATCATACAGTTGTAAGCTCTGAAACTCACCATTAAGTTGTCATCAACGCTCGAGGCGCTTTCAACTAGCAAGTAAAAATTATTAATAGCACAATTACAGGGTTGAATTCTGAGGAATTGTAAGTTAATGCATACTTCTGAAAAGGTCTAGGGTTAACGCACGCACACGAGAAATTTTTTGATCCGGTTTCAATAATGCATAGCGAATCACTAGCAATTTCGTGGCGTCTTATACAATGGAGAAAGCACCTAATAGCACAATACAAACATGCATCGTTTATTTTGGGCAATTATTCGGACAAATCGTGGAATGAAAATTTAAATATCTGCAATTTGTTACAACAATTGTTGCTTCATGTTATATGAAGAATAGTATGTTGCAACATGAATGAAAATGAATGCGAAAATCCATTGAGATATAAGTTGAAAGAAATAAGAGTACGGAAAAGGCCAAAATTCACTCCATATGCATTTTAAAGAATCTGTTTAAAAGTTTCAAATACACTCAATTTGATTTGTATGCGCTTTTCATAGGCCCCAGGACCCCAGATTCGAACACTAAAAAAATGGCCTAAACTAGAATAACTATATACTTCCCACGGCTTCGTAATGGTTTCTCGTTCAATTTTCAATGTAGCTCAATTCCACAGTGACATCAAAAAGCCGTGGGTTTTATCAAAAACACTAATGCACTAATTATACTTTTTATGAAAAAAATACAGATTAATAAGAGTGTCCGCATGGTAGCCTTATTGCATTGGAGCTCTGAGGTAAAACTGTTTGACATCAATGCTTGATAAATGATTATAATAGCTGCCGATATGTATCTATATACTGTATATACTATAACGGTCATATACAGAGTGAGTCTTTACTGTGATACTGGTCGATAGCTTCATTATAATGGCTATCTAAAACAGTTGATTAAAACAATTTTAGCCAAAGCAGTATTCTCCGGACTTGGAAAATATTTTCATCTATACAGCGCGACTCTTAACTACCTGGAGACCTGTATATCCATTTTTTCGAGTGATAGGCCTTCATTTTACTGCAGACTTGGATAGACCATTTCAAACGAGGAAATTTGATATACATATTCTGTGAACTAAGATATTGAATAAGCTATCGAAAAAAAAAAACACTCAAATTGTACCTCCGCAACTGTTATAGCTAAAGTACTGAATTTTTGCCAGAAAATTTTATGATCCCATATTTTATTCCTATCTACCTACTTTTATAGTTTTAGTAGTTTTTTTAGGGTGGTTAAGAAGGCAAAACGAACGGTTTCCCAAAATGTTTAAATAGAACATCGTAAGTTACAGATATCAAAGCAAATAAAAAATACAACTTTTCAAATAAAAAATAGCATTTAGTTGATAACGCAAGATCGCAAGAATTGGTGTATTCTCGTTATACGAAGGGTACAGAGGAAAAAATGAATGTCATAAAAAGTAACTTTTGAGAAAAGGTAATTTAACAGTTTGAGAACTCCTGGACTCGTTGTACACGGTGGGTCAAGGATCTGACGGAGTACCGTAGATTCCTCATTCAAAGAAATTGAAAAATGTTAAATAACAGATAAAAAATATTTTCTGATATACAGTGTAGCCCAAAGTTAAACCAGACCAAACATTTTTTCAAGGAAAATCCTTTTTATTTTGGTATTTTGAGATTCACTTTACGATTCTAAAAATGTTTCATGTGTTAGCGTCCATGCCTGAATTCAACTTCTTTTGAGATATTGGGGCTAGAGATGAGCGTTTCGTCATATGCGACACCCTGTAAAATCTAAGGGTTAATTAACCAGCAAAATGCCTATCTTAGGTTTTACGATCTGTTCTAATATGAGAACAACCTCAACAGGCAATTTATTACACAGGGCCTAGAACACACAAAAATATGATTTTCGGCAAGTTTTCAGTTGGGTATAACTACGAACTGTCATTGTTTTTGTGTGATTCCAATACCTCATGGGATTGTGCTGCGTTAAGAGGACATGTTGCGGGCTCCAACTACAAAACACCAAGTTTATGACATTCATCTGTTTCCCCCTGTTGTACCCTTCATACATTAAATCTACCCAGCCTGATGTAATAAGTCGATAAAGCTATTCCTGTATTTTTTTTAACTCAA